CCTAACAGAACCTTAATATTTTAATATTGTATCATAAACTTACTCAAATAACAGACAAGTGATCTAAACCAAGGACCTAAATTCTACAGAGATCCTATGGTCTGAGGTGGAGAGCTTTAAAGATGACCCACGACCTGCATGCTCAGTAAACAAATGATGCAAAGTCATACAGGTCCCTTTGACTTGTTGGAGGACAAGAATAACTTTGGCCCAGTTGACAAAACACAATATTTTCATGTCTGAATTGACTCACATTGAAAGTGTAAAACTACTTGGAAGTTGTCAACTTTTTTTCTTATCGTCCCTAAAGTAAAATAGCCAAAGGCATTGTGAAAAATGTGCCGATTACCCCTTTAGCTCAGTCTCCATTTGATGAGATATCTATGCTGGACTGCTCAGGTAAAACCAGACCAGAACAGGATCTCCTGTGCTAAACTTGCGACCTCGACTTACCTTCTGCATTTTCTCTGAAGGCTAAATTACCTCACTGGACATTACTAAAAGGCTAATGTATGTCACCACTCTATTAACCTTCCCACTCAGCTCCATTTTCTCCCGGGATCATTAGTGGATTTCTTACAGGGGCACTCACTAGCTGCATATATTTTAGCCTGACAGTACTTAAATTCAATAAATGCCTTAGATATTTAATGTAAATACAACAGTTGCAAATAAAGACACATGAGGGAAGATAGTGAACAACAAGGCAGGGGCAGCAGAGCTGTTTTTTTGTTGTTTTATTTTTTACATCTTGGATTCTTTACCTGCAATTCGAAAATTTCTTTAATCAGTCCTCATTTCGGCCTACTTTCCGTCCAAGCTGCCAGAATGTCTTATTCTTTGGGATAGATTTAGTAGTTAGTAATCAGATTGCACGCGTTCTGAAGACAGTTGCAGTTCTTTGCACTCAGGGTATTGTTTTAGTGCCCAACCACTTTCACTTGTTAATTTTTTTTTTATCACATCCATCAAAACTGTCAAATCCTCCTGGCTTAAAATGTCCTGGCTTAAAGAAAAATAATTAACTCATGAGCCAATGGTCTTTTTTTCATTTTTACTGGTATCTCTGTATAGAACCAATGTTTAATCTAACTTTTAAGTTTTGTTCATCAGCTGATTATCCCCTGGATGATATTGTTGGCCTTCTCAGCATGCCATCTAGCTCTGAAGGGGCCAACTAATTACCTACTGTATTAATCTAATCCAGAACAACAGCTGAAAAAATGACTGGACATCACTTTGCTAATGCAGTGAGGCTACCCGAAGATGCTTTGGTGCACTAACTTCGATGGTCTCCATGATCTCCACAGCTGGTAAGAAAATGACTGCACTGATTCAAATTTCGTTCAGAATTAAGGAAATCATGATGCAGTTATGAGTGAGGTATTATACACTTAAAGCTACAGTGTGTAATAATTACAGGGATATACAGTCAGAAATCTAATATATTATACATAACTATGTAGAATTCGTTATTTATAATTACATAGGAGCGGGTCTCGCAGCCATGAAGGCAGACATCTTTGCGCTACGGCAGCGCAGATCCAACAAACTAGCGATTGCGAGATCGCCCATTACGCTCGAAAGTAACTACGGCAAGTTGAGAGAGATGAACTGAGACGGTACTGAACACACAGACTAATGAAATACTATCTGTAAAATTATCTATGTAGACAAACCTCATCACTTGAGAAGGTAGGTGATGAGGAAGTCGAGGAAGACATTTTGTCCCGTAACGCTCGCCGTACTGTTGGGGGGGAGAAGCGGTGGGGGGGAGATGTTCATGTTGCTGCGGTCTGCAGTCTGGACGCTAGATGTCACTGAAAATTACACACTGTAGCTTTAAAGCTGGTTTATACCTGATGCATGTATGTTCCCAGTGTTCTTGCACACCTCGCTCTTCTAGCGGGTCAAACTTCACGAGTTGTTTTCCGCAAATTCGGTCAAAAAAACAAAACTAGCCGGCCTCCTGTCTGCGGCGCTGTTTCCGGTCAGCTACAATTTGGGAGAGAAGCAGCGGAGCGTCTCTCAAGGGGGCGGTGACGTCTGGAGCCGAGGTATTGAATTGCACTCATTGCACTGATTTTGTGCAGTATTTTTGCAGTATTTTTTGATGCAACTTTTCTACTTCTGTTATTTACTGTTGTTTCTAAAAAAAATGCATAACGATGTTACAGCTTTTATTGATTTATTTCAAACTTGAAACTTTGTTTAGCCTGTAAGGTCTAAAAAAATTTTTTTTTTAAATTAATCGATTAATTTAATCGAATCGTGGTGTATTCTCGAGTACCGAAAATAATCGAATCGTTGGGTCAGGAAATCGATACTGAATCGAATCGCCATGATGGGTGTGATTTATACCCCTAGTAACAACGTAAAAATACTACACTACTGTACCTAAGTAGATTTTGGAGTATTTTATGCTTTCCTTGAGTAAAACATTTTTTGATAAATTGAATAGGGCTATACACACTCAGTATCTGTTCTGGTTTAAGAGATGTGGCACAAACTTATGCAGTAGGACTTTACTTTGTAGCTGAGCTGGTTGTTTTTTTTATTTTTATTTATTTGTTTTCAATAACTTTTTATAAACTGTCCCAGTCAAATGTGGAAATCTGTTTAATTTGTGCGGCACAGAGACAATTGTAAAAATAATAATAATAATAATAATGTAAGTTTGAGATTAAAAAGTTGTACGCAGACGGTGTGACCTGGCTTCTTTGAGTCTAGACAGTTGTTAATTTTTTTAATAAAAATTTTTTGATCAAATTTAATCGCAATTTTTTGCGGTTTTAGATGTTTGCTAAAAAAAAAAAGTTGTTGCCCTGTGCAACTTAGTTCCTAAAAGAGTCACATTATCTCTTAGCCAGTGTTGTGCAAAAATAATGTCCTGCAGATAATGAATAGATGGTTAACTAGAACTGGAGTTATAGTTAATTATTATCCTATTCAACATCGAAGGCCAAAATCAATTTAGTGTTCTTAGGTGGATAATTATAGCCCTGAGTTATCTACTTACCGGTTGTTGATCCAAAACTGGAGGGTTCCGGGACCGGCTGTTAAAATCCAGGTATCCACCAGTCTAGTGGCCCCGGTTAAGTTATCAGCAAAGCTATTAAATTATCAATAAAGAACCTTCTATCTCTGTTTATTCGCACTATTACCCAAGGAATCGAGTTACTCTGAGTGATTAACCCTCCGTTATATGAACGACCAAAACCACTACAGATTAACCAATGATGTCTTTATTCTAATAATTCAGGATTACAGAAATCTAACATCTATGCAAACACTACACACTACTAGAAAACTAAACACGAGGTAGATTAAATGACTAGTTCAAAAGAGAAATAAAAGACAAATCGAAAATAAAGAATTAAACGAGATAGAAACAACGGAATAACTATTACTGGCGTCTGAAATTGTCTAAAATACGCCAGATATTAATACATTCATTAATGTCCGCTAGCAGCAGGTATAGTGCAATTGATCAGTGTAAACTAATACATCCAACTTAAAATCAGCAAATGATTAAATGCATTAACAAGCAGCAGGTGTAATGATAACAGTGCAATCGATCATGAACATTAATACATCCAGCTTAGTATTGGTAAATTATTGAACATGTATTAACAATAGCAGCGTTCAGCAAAAACCCTTTTTGCCTGGCAATGTAGTGATGTGTGTCAATGGTTGTGGCTAAATGGGGACCACCCCCCTTTGTTCTCCACGCGGTGAGGGGAACAAAGAGAAATGGGGGGGGCGACCTGTGATCAAGATGGCGGCGACCACGGGACCCCACGTGGCTGAACGTGATAACTTTATCTCTATCTCAAAGCAGAAACAACGGAGACGACAGGAAAGCCAAGAAAGAAAGAAAAAGCACACACTTATTTTAACCAAATAAACAAACCCTTAATCAGCACAGATAAAAAAAAGAACATCAGCATTAATTAAAAACCCTAAACTGCCTTTCTCTCGCCTGAGCACAGCAATTCTGATGCATCAAAAGAAGGTAAATCGATTTTACTGTGAGATGCGTCGTCCGAGGGAGGTTGGCGTTTCCACGGCAACCGCAGCTTGGTTTCTGTCGGGCAGCGCTTCTCTGCCACCGGTCCGCCCCTTGGGAAAGTTCAGTCAGCTCGGGCCGCAGCAGAGGGGTTGATCTGCTCACGAGTTGGAAGGAAGGGATTTCAGGAGGTGATCTTAGGAGGTGATCTTAGGAGGTGATCGGCAAGAGCGTCCTCTTAACCGATTGGTCCAAGAAAAGGGGAGAACGAAACTCCGCGGTCAGCTTCAAAGGGTTTCTATCTCCCAGTCAGCGCTGTTGCTATGCACGATGGAACACTGCGATCCGTGACTTTCGATGCAGGAAAACGAAAGCTACTTCCAGTCAGCTTTCTTCTGATATTTCACGTGAAATGGGCCTCTCCTGACGGGCTGCAAACCCATGGAAAAAGAGAGAGAGTCTTTTCGCGCTGCGCTTTTTAACCCATGGATGACGTGCGGGCACTTCCTGTCTGCGCATCGGCTGATTGGTCCGTGCTGTGAGTAACGTGGGGGTAGTTCCATTGTGGACAAGAACAAAGGGGTAGTTCAGGTGGCAACGGAGATGGTTTAGCCCACTGATTTAGTTCCATGTTGGTAATATACCTCAACATATTCCCCCCTTTTAGCTTTGAAGAGTGGATATCCGTTTCAGTCTTTAAAGCTAACCCAGTTTATTAATCCATATTGCCAACAGGGTTGCGTGTAGGTGTCCACTGTGCAGTTGGCCGTTCGTTAGAGGTGGGTGCTGGCTCAGGGAGAGGAGGCAGGTGCTCGGCGAGTGTATTGCTAGCTAGCTAACTAACCTCATTGTAATGTCACCAAACATTGAAACACAGACATTTGTTGTACATTAGCAACCATGTGGCATTTTGGTTCAGCATATTTGCTTTAAGCAAGAGAAGGGAGGAAAGAAACATGCAAAGGGGACAGAGATAAAAAAACTCACTAAACTACTTGTGATTCATAGCCCGTCATTTTCCGTTTTTTTTTTTTTTCTATGTTTTGACGTTATGGCGCTATGAATCTGGGGGCCACATAGGTGAGGTGCTCGACTTTATGCTGTAACACCTTTATCTTTTGGTATGCCTTATACGTCATTATCGTAGTGATGACCCAACCGAAGATGAAAACAATGATCGGAATAGACATGGTGTGGGTATTCGGCCAGGCATTGTCTTGACGATAATGGAAAAGTGGGGTGGAGAGTAGTTCAGATGGTGTGAGGCTAAATTTAACTAGCTGAGTGCCTGCTGCCAGGAGTTGTTTTTCAATTTCGACATCAATACTGAAGTTATATCCTTTGAAGACATCTAGAATTTCAATTTCTGAGTCGTATCGCTCGACATTGAGATGGTGTAAGACTATGTCACCAATGTGGATCACGGCGCCTTGAGGAACTGAAACCAACATTGTTTGATTGGGAAGGTGAATTCTAGTGACTGTGTCGTGTAGTTCGTAGGACAGCAGTGCTTCGGTAGCTGGTGTACTCACTAGCCATTTATTACCTGCGCGCTCTATCATTGTTTCTACTCCTGCATCCTTTAGAGTCATCTTAGCTTGGCAGTTTTGTTCTGGGGATTCGTTTCTAAGTCCGCAGAGGCGGTCTGTTACATCTCTAAGGAATGGGTTGCTGGGGCAGACCCAGTGGATTTCTTTAGTTTTGGTGCATAAGTCTAGGTTAGGGACCAAATAAAGCTGGGGGTTGGCGTCGTTGAAAGCCAACATGGACGGAGTTTTTAGGTGGACGTGGGTTTTATCTCTCCAAAATCCAACGTTTAGTACTGATTTTAGTCTATACACATTAGCCCTTTCAATGATTGGGAGATTTAACATGAATCCGATTTCTAAGTTATCGGGATCTACAAAGATTGGTATTGCACTACCTAAGCTATAAGCCAGGTGAGTTTGCGGTGATTGCAGAGCACCAGTGACAGCGGATTTCAGCACATTCTCTACTAGTTCCACAGGGACTAAGTAAGGAGGGATTCTTCCTTCAGCTAGGCTGTTTACCGATTCACCAACCTCTTGGATGAGATCCTGCATTAAATCTCTCACAACTTGCGTGTACATTAGATCATTCTTTACCACTTCTGTCAGTGTTTCCAGTGCATGCATGGTGTTGTTTATAAGGGCAGAGTGTAGGTTAACCGTGACTACTGTGCCTTGAAGTGTTTTTGTCTGGATGTTCAGTAGTTTCTGTTGTATGAGGAGCCTTTGCTGGATTTCTGGCATCTCAGAGTCCAGTTCTTGTACATGCTTTTGAATTGTTTTCAGACTAACAGCATTTGCCGCTGAGAGACCTATGGAAAACAGTGATCCGACCGCGGCCACGGAGGCTATGAGTCCGCCTAAAAATCTTTTCGGGCGTTTACTTCCGACGAGATCCTGTTCAGTCACCATAAACTTTTCGAGTTGTTTAAGAATGTGGGTTGTGGTATGTTTGGCATGGTTCACTGTGTCATGGATCTGACTGCCTTGTTGTCGTCCTTCTCCTATCTGAGGCGGTAGTTTAATGTGTTTCCGGTACACGTCCCATGGATCGAGTCGGACGAACACCCGTTGTGTATGGAGTTTACAGTGTGTGATAAGTAGTCCAGGTGTGTCTTGGAGAGCGGTGCCGGTTGGAGGTCCTGTCTCTATTACACTGGATGGTTGGCCCATGGTTGATCCCAGGAGGAAGCCGATTACCCAGAAGATCTCCATCTGTAATAGAGAGACCCGAATTATGACGGAGTGTGTACAGGTTATGTGTCTTTTGGCCCTACTTATTATGCACAACTTCAGTTCTATGCATCTTTTCTTTCCTCCGTGGCGGTGTCGCGTTTGGTTGGTTGGGAGGAGGATTTGATGTAAGGTTTTATTTGATTCGCATGGACCCACCTGTATTCAGGTGCTTGCCTGGGTTTGGAGGTCCTTATTCTATAGGCCACTGGTGAGAGTTTTCCCACGATCTCGAATGGTCCAGCCCATCGTGGAAGGAACTTTTTGGCTCGGCCGGGTGGTTGAGCAAATTTGAAGTAGAAAATCTTATCTCCCACTTCATATTCTGTGTGTGTGGCCTTGCGGTCATAGTAGGCCTTGGCTCCTTCCACGCTGGCCTCTAATTTCTTTTGGGCCCATGCGAATGTTGCTCTGAGATGATCTTTCAGATCGGAGACGTATTGATGTGCTGTATAGGCAGTCGTGACGCTAACATCTTCTGGCTGATAGATAAGGTGTAGCGGAAGAGTCATTTGCCTGCCTGTCATCATCTCGAAGGGCGTAACGCCAGTGGATGTCTGCGGTGTGGACCGGATAGCCATCAGGACCAGGGGCAGTTTGACGTCCCAGTCCTTAGCATGGCTGTCAACATATTTTTTTAGCATACTAACCACTGTGCGGTTCATCCTCTCCACCTGTCCTGATGACTGGGGATGATATGAGATGTGAAACTTGACCTCAACCCCTAGCATCTCGAAGAGTGCCGTCATAACGTTCGAAGTGAAGTGGGTCCCTCTGTCTGAGTCAACTGACAGTGGGAGGCCCCAACGGCTGAACACATGGTTCAGCAGGAGAACCGCAGTGGTGGTAGCTGTGTCGTTGGGTGCGGGTAGGCACTCAACCCACTTTGTGAAGCTGCAGGTTACGGTGAGGAAGTATTTGTTGCCTCTTGCTGATTTCGGAACCGGTCCAACCCAGTCTATCTGTATGTGTGACCACGGGAATGTAACCCCCCTTCGTTGAAGAGGAGCCCGGTCAAGGGGCTGGACCGGTTGGAATTGGCAGCAGGTCAGACAACTCTTCACATACACCCGTGTGTCATTTGCCATTAAAGGCCAGTATGCCACCTGCTGAAGCGTGTGTAGGGTTGCTTTGTAGCCTCTGTGTCCTCCCACAGGCGAATCATGTGCGTGAGCGAGCATGATTCCTCTGTGATCCGTTGGAACGACCCATCGGAGTGGGCCGTGTCCATCTTTGGAGTAGACCCAAAGTAGAACCCTTTTTCTATCTTTAAGTGGGGTAAGCTATGACGAAACGCCTTTAGCTCCTTTGATTCTCCAGTTGGTGATGGTTGATTTCCAGGTGACTTACCATTGCTTACCAACTCCTTGATGGCATGCAGGGTCGGATCTTGGTCCTGCATGGTACACAAGTCCTGGTCACTTGGTTTGCGTCCGAGGCAGAGCATCTCGTTAGCGTTTCCGGGCTTGTTTTGATTGGCTCTTACCTGTTGTCGTGTTATGGCGCAAACTGTGTGGTTTTCAACAGGCTTAGCCCAGTCCTCACGAAACTCCCAGGGAGTTCCACTTTCTGCTCCTAGCCTGGCAAGGCGGTCTGCTTCGTCGTTTCCATCCTTGTCTTGGCCCAGGGTGCGAGAATGTCCTTTAACCTTTTTCCAATAGATGGTCATGTCGTTCTCTGTGGTGAGTCTTTCGCATGCTAGGAATATATTTGAGTGTTTGACTTCTTTATTCCTAGCATTCTTCATTCCGTTAGTTTTCCAAACGGGTAGGTGGGAGATGAAACTAAGCCTAGCGTAGTTGGAGTCGGAGCAGATCACCAGCTGCTTCTGGTTCAAGGCGGCTGCTTGTTGGATCGTGATGAGGATCGCTGCGACTTCAGCATATTGGCTCGTTTTCGCTCCCAATTGGTAGTGGTTTGGTTCGGCGGAGTCGATTCCTGTCCAAACTATACCTACCCCGGCTCGGAGTTGGTGTTCATGCATGAACGCACAGCCATCGGTATACACTCTTGGGAGCCCTTTGCATATGTTCTCGTCATAATAGCGGTGGGCTGAGAGCGTTGTTCCCACAGCTGTGGGTGTGTCAGGTTGGGGTTGAGGTGTATCGCACTCGCAGTGGTTACATCCGGCTAACCCCTGTCCCAACGCCATCCGGTTGTTTTGACCGTATCTTACCTCAATGTCGTAGCCTTGTAACGCCATCATCCATGTCGCGATCCGGCTGTTCGACACTCTCCCTTCCCTCAAACGCTGACTGTTAAGGAAAGTTACTGGCTGGTGACATGTTTCGATAATCACCTTTTGTCCTCCTATGTAACTGCGGAAGTGTTCTACCGCCCAGACTTTGGAGAGGAGGGCCTTCTCACAGTCTGAGAATTTTATTTCAACCTCGCTTAGTGGTCTGCTCGCGTATGCTACGACTCGCATGTCCTGGTCGTATTTCTGTCTCAGCGCTGCACTCAGGCAGTGAGATGAGAAGCTGGCTTCCAGATAGAACTCACGGTCCTTGTCTGGGTATGCTAAGCAGGAGGCAGACACCAGCTTCTGCTTCATCCATTGGAAAGCCTGTTCCTGAGGTTCTCCCCAATCGAACGGAGTGTCTTTGCGTAACAACTCGGTGAGTGGCCTCGCCATGTCTGCATAGTCTTCGATAAACTGACGGGAGTAGTTGCAGACCCCGAGGAAGCTCCGGAGTTCGGAGAGGTTGGTCGGGGCTGCTATGTCCTGGATGGCCCTGATTCTGTCGGCTTGAGGTTCAATGCCGTTTGGTCCGACCGTGAGCCCTACGTAGTCCACCTTTTTCCTGCACCACTGACCCTTGCTTAACGCTAACTTGGCTCCTGCAGCCGCTAGCTGGCCTAGAACGTGTCGGATTTCCTCAAGATGTTCTTTGAAGGTTCTGCTCCTCATTAGGATGTCATCGACATAAATGAGGTTTCCTCGTTCTGTAGCATCGGACATCGCCTTATGAAGGAAGATGTTGAACTCGGCTGGTGAGTTGGAGTATCCGAAAGGACACCTGTTCCAAGTATATTGGCGGTTCCCAAAGGAAAACGCCAATTTATACTGGTCAGCCGGGTCCACCTTCATTGTCCAAAAGCCATTAGCCACGTCTACGGTTGAGAAGAAGCGGGCGTCTTTAACTTTTGCCAGTTCTTGGTCTAAGTGGATCATGGGCCAGCGCGAAAGCGGTACCTGCTTGTTTAAAGCACGGTAATCGATGGTGAGACGCCATTTTCCTGTCGGTTTTAACACCGGCCAAATGGGGGAGTTGTAGGTGGAGTTGCATTCCCGAATGATGTTTTTCTCTAGCAGCTTATTGAGGATCTCTTGGATCGAATCATAAGCGGCCAGAGGAATCTTATACTGTCGCACGAAGGTTGGGGGCGCGTTTGGTTTTGTGGGAATACGAACCGTGTGCAAATCTGTAACCCCGCAGTCGTTAGAGTCTCTAGATAAGATGGTCTGGAACTCGTAGAAAAGATCCCTGAGTGCCGCTTTTTCAGCTTCAGTGGATAAAGCGTCGGCCTTCTCTAACTGTTGGTTTACTTCGTCTTCGAACCCTGGGTACGGCTCGGGTTTCTGGTTCTGCCCTTCAGGTTCGGTTTGGCTGTCTCTTGTGGAACGGGCTTCTAGCGAGTACACTATCAAGTTCCCTTCGGCTTCAAGGGTGGCGCCAAACAGGGATTTGACAGGCAGCGCCTCATCCCTTCTGACAGTTATCATTTTCGAGGGGAAGGTGGAGGCACTGTCTGCGAAATCCTGTGTGGTGATCAGGGATGACGGCAGTTCTCCAATGACGGGAATGCCCAACTCGAAGTCGTGGAACGAACTATCGATTAGCACCCCGAGGGGTTTAGCGGTTTTTAGTGGGATTGGGACCGCGGTTGGGTTTTCAACCAAGAGGTAGGTTGAACGATTGTTCAACTCAAGCAAGGGATTTCCCCGGACAACCAGATTCAGTTCGTGGAAGTGAGGCAGAGGTTGGAAATGGACCAAGGGGTTTTCCATTTCTTGACCTTTGAGGATGACTAGCCGGACTGGGACACCAGTGGTATATGCTGGTATCAGCATATCTGTTTCGCATGTCACCTGACAGGCTTGGGGAATGGTCTGCCCTGACCTCATGACCTCGGGTTTTCCAAGGAAAGAACATGGTGGTGTTCGGGCCCGGGCCCACAAGACTTGGTTGCATGTGTCCAGTTGTACCCCTAGTCGGACCAAGAGGTCGGCGCCGATCAGAATCGGAGTGAGTGGATGTTCCACGATGCTAAAAGGGTGCAATATGTGTTTGGGTCCGATGTTTACCCTAAGCATACATACCCCAGTAGCCTTCATGAGTCGGCGAGGCCGATCGTCTGAAAGTAGGTGGTGGCAACGTCTTATTTCAACCAGGTCAGGCTTCGCCTGGCATAAAGAAAGGTACAGTTTTCTGCTTATGGCTGACTTTTCCAACCATAGGGCTAGGACCGCATTCGGTTTGAAGACGCCTTCCAAGTGAATGCCCTCAGTCAGTGTGAGGTTGAAGCCTTCATTATCGGAAGGTGTGAGAGTGCAGAGGAAGGATTCATGGCTGCGGAAAGATGCGCTTTGGTTGTGCGTCTGTGACCTTGAGGCTGGAGCCCCAAAAAGTGGTTCTGCAGGAGGAAGTGGTTGTGTTTGGTGTTTCGCTGACTCGCTTGAGCAGGTTACCAGATGGGTAAGAACAAGCTGTTTCTCTGTCGAGGGGAACGGCTTTGGATTTTCCACCTGAGCCCATAAGTGTCCCTGGTTGCAGTCAATGAGTGGGGCCAACCTGTCCAGCAGGTCTTGGCCCACAAGAAAGGGTTCTGTATCCAATGTGCAAATGTAGATAGGATGGATTAGAGTCATGTCTCGGAAAGTGACATCTAACCACACCCGCTTGGTGATGCATGACTCATGCTGGGTGTAGCTGGTGATCCCTACGTTGCAGGTCTCCACCTGGAATGGCTTTCCAAGG